TATATTTATATGTTTACGTACATACATATGTGTGCGTGTGAGTGTATATGCAGACATAGTGGTAATAACTCTGTATTTTCTAACTTGCCCAGAGCCGCTTACAAGCAAATTCATATCTACCCCGTGCAGCCTAGTAGCATCTTATCCTGCTAATTCACTAAACCACTATTTTACTTGCATATCATGGGATTTATGAATATTACTATTAAAAATTACCTATTAGCATTACCTAACTAACAATGTAAGAGCAGTATGAATGCTTTTTGTTTTATGACTAGCAAGGCTGTAAATCATAGGGGTTACACAACAGTCCTGGACCAGAGGTCAGACCTGTTTCTGGAGACAGCACTGGGAAAGGACCATCCACAAGGACCCACAGAGGAGAGGGCAGCAGCTTTGTCCTCTGCTCACTGGGGCAGAGCAATTGCCACACACTTGCTGCTGAGCCATTCAGCATTTGAGGGGGAATGTTAAAAAGAAGGGAAGGTGTTGTCAGAATTAAAGTGCTTTTGCTTTAGTTTGAGTCTTCCATCCAGTATCGCTGTTAAACGTGAACAAGGGAGAAGGGTGAGGCAAAGGGCTTTCATGAAACCGGAGCAACAGAAGCATGAGCAACGTGAGAAACATGAACAACATAAAATATCGGTCACTTTTTTATTTGTTAAAGATTGCCTAAGCAGAAATTCTTTCTTGAATTCAAATGAAGGAAAAAAATACAGCTTTATATGTCTTTCATGATGATGTGGTTTTTCCCTAGCCTTAATCAAGGTTGGCAAAGGATAACAGATTCTTTCTCTGCTGAGTAGAAATGTTTGGTTTGTTTAAGGCTGTGTTCACTTGTGAGACTGTGCTAGAATTGTAAAGGGTTGGTTTGTTTGCTTCCTTCCTTTCTGAATCTTTTTCTGCTAGTGGCTTATCTTTTCTTTTTGATTATTAGTTTCCCTGTGATAACAGCGGTAACATGATCTGAACGGGTAGTAACATCTGGAGACTGCTTCCCTGCTGACATGAAATTTTCACTTTAAAAAAAAATAACTGATTAAAACAGTTCTTTCCAACCTACTTGCTTTCTTTTTCTTTTCTGTCTGTTCTGTCTAGAACCAAACTGTCTTATTAACTGCCCCCTGGGGACTCTAACCCTGCCTGCCTCACTGCTGTAAGTCCTTTCTACCTTGTTTCCAGAGCTTTCTGAAAGCGGTCACTTTTGAACGTGTGGGTTAACAAAGGGAAATAAATGATCACAGGTCCAGAGGTATCGGCACCCACTTGACATCCCTGTGGGGTCCTTCGTATGCGACAGTCAGGAAGCGCTCAGGATAGGAGCCCATCTGCCATCTCCTGCAGTCACACAGGCTACGAAGAGGTCACACTAGAGCCAAAATTTGTGCTGTTGGGGTTTTTCATTAAACTTTAAAAGATCGTCAAAATGTAAGACCAACATAAGGGTATGCAAAAACGGTGGGGATGGACTCAGACTTATAACAAACATCTTTTTTGTTTTTCTTGTGACAAATACACAGCACTGCGCAGGGCTTCTGGCCACCTTGGGGTACGTTCCCTCCAGCCATGACTACAGCAGCAGGAGGAGAGGGCTGCAGACAGGGGGTCCAGCACCAGCCCATGGCTGATGGTCACCTTTGCTCATTAAGCTGTTCCCAGCCCAGATTTGGCCAGTGGCCGGATTTGCCGCAGCAGAGGAAGGGAGGGAAGAAGCTGTGCAGATGTGAGCTGTGACCATCTGCTCCACCTCAGAGCCAGAAAATTCTTTTATTTAGTTATTAATATAGGCATAGCATATATTAATAGGTGGCTGTCAGCCTGGCTTAGGAAATAGCTAGAAACTAAACCTGAAACCATCTTTCCCGTTTTCAATATTAGGGCTAAGAAGTACTGCCTGTCCATGCACACCCCCAGACAACCACCAAACTACACTACCCATAGGATATTAACTTTTAAAAAACATTTCTAGCTATGACAGCTACATGTGGTAAGTGAGGAGGGGCTTTCACAAACCGTTCCAGACAGTTTCCTTGTCGTGGCCGGATTTCCTTAGTGCCCACCGACGAAGCCATGCTGCAGGTGGGGGTGACTGACTTGGCAGCCAGCACGTTATAAGATTCCGCTGCCAGTCACTTGTTGGCCCTGGAGCAACATCCAGTGCCAGCACAGCCTTGCGTTGCGCTGGGCATGTGTACATCACAGATAAGATGAGCTTAACCCTGCCGTTCGGTAAAAGCTGACCAACATCTGCAGGCGTGCTGGAAGAGGGGCTTTTGAACTGGGAGGCAGCAGTGGAAATAAATTTTGTTATCACCATGCTGACTGTCATTTACTGTTTGAAAGTAGAATAAAGCAGCCAGAAGCAAGCGGCGCTCTAGAGATATCATTTTAAGCCGCTGTTTAGAAAGAGGCTAAGACAAAAGCCGCAAATCTCATCGCCTCAATTGTTGCACTGCCTGTGAGGGTTACTGCGCATATGGGTTTCTCTTAACAAATCTGAGTCTCGTGGCAGCTTTCACAGACCATATGTTGCCCCAGCCGCAATGGGATAAGGTGAAGTAAGGACACAGAGTCAATCTTCTTCTTAGCACCGACTTATATTTCAGCCTCACTGTTGTTTTAGCGAGGGTGGTCGTGAAGTTCACGGTGCAGGGATGAGGCGGGGGGCGAGGATGCAGAGAGGCAGCGGGGCAGGCCTGGGCTCCATAGCCCCCTGAGCAGCTTCTGCAAGACCTGCCTAGTCTTGCTCTCCGCGAACGCCGAGGGCGGATGAGCAACTGCACGTTACCCTGTTGGCTGCATATTGCCCAAAGGCGCCGAGGTTCACCCTCCACAGAGACTTCCCCAAGTCTGACGATGCACTCTCTCCAAAACACGCGCCTGCACAAGCTCCATTTCCCATACCTCAGCTCTGTGTCTTCAAAATTGATCTTTCTGTCATCTAACATTCATGTTTGGTCCTCCCACTGCAACAGAGCGACACCTTGTTTGTTCACTGCCAGTCATATCATGTTACCTACTCCGATGTTCTCCACCCCTAGGCACGTTTCTCCTTCTCCTTTGCTTCCTACTGCGTTGTTCTACTGCTGCCTTGGTTTCCCTGTGCCTTACCGTGTTGGAGCTTTTCCTTTGCATTGTATCATTTCTGGTCTCTCTCTTGATTTATCACCAGTTTGCATTCTGAATTTGAGGCTGTTTTTTATTGAACTCTCCTGTCCTCTCCAGTGACTGCTCCTCAGCGTACACATTTCTATAGGTTGACAAACTCCTCTGATTTGCTTTTATAAATTACAAAGCATGCAATGGAATTCAGAAGTTTTGCTTTGGCACTGCAAGACAGGCTTGCTCCC